TAACAATACATTTAATAAACAGTTTGTTATCCACAGCACGTTTAGTATTTCTGGATTTCAAGGTGAAATTGAGAGGACAAGATAGAATATCTGTATCGGTTGGCAGATTTCTTCCTGGAATTTGTTGAAAACAAGTCGGCACATTTTTACAGTATGCAAATTAGAATAACACTGTGGATAAGTTGGACGGAACATTTTTGCTGAAAATGTTTTTCCCCAAAAAATTGAATTCTCAGAGGTATGGAATTCCATATCTGCCGTCGTCCGTCGTGCGTCGTCCGTCGCCCGTCGTGCGTCGCCCGTCGTGCGTCGCCCGTCGTGCGTCGCCCGTCGTGCGTCGCCCGTCGCGCGTCGTCCGTCGCGCGTCGTCCGTCGCCCGTCGTCCGTCGCCCGTCGTCCGTCGCCCTTGGGTTTTTTTTTTGTCACGCTTGCGCGCGCATTGTTACTTTTAACTTTGACCCTTGATCGTTTCACATGTACTTGTGAACTAGAAGATGTATTCATTTTTGCAGTTACGCCGAACTCCACTTGAGAGAAGAAATAATATCCTTTCATTTTTAAAGGCTGACATCGGTAAAGTGACGTGTATATGAAATAACACCTTTTTGGATCCATAAATAAATTAACACAATAGACTTTTGTTAGAGTAGAATGTTTTTCTTGAGAATTTTGTTACTTTAGACGTAACTTTACTCGTTAACGGCCTGACGTTAGGTTTAGAGCCTATGTAATATTTCTGTCTGTCCCTGCACGATATCCCACAGAACTGAATGTAAGTAATACATTATTTACACTGTTTGATTCCTTGATATTTTTCATAAGAGACGAACTGATTCAACATTATTTTGAGGGTGGGTATACCTATGATGAAATCTGCTGTATACTCCAAATTAGACATGACTTGAGTTGCAGGTAGGCTCACAGAAGTCTTTTAAACAGTAACGTTACTTGTTAGACCCATAAATAACGCTGATATGCTGGACAACCTGTTCTCATTGGTCTATCCACCATCATCCACCAAAATCAACACGTCATATTTTCTGAAAATTAGACCAAGTGGTAATTGCCCCCTAACAATACATTTAATAAATAGTTTGTTATCCACAGCACGTCTAGCATTTCTGGATTTTAAGGTGAAATTGAGAGGACAAAATGGAATATCTGTATTGGTTGGCAGATTTCTTTCTTGAATTTGATGAAAACAAGTCGGCACATTTTGAAAGTATGCAAATTAGAATTAAACTATAGATAAGTTGGCCTGAACATTTTTGCTGAAAATGTTTTTCCCAAAAAAACACTTGGTTGAATTCTCAGAAAGGCGACATTTTCTTGTCAAGGGGCAGGGGTAGTCTAGCATTATTGGAATTAATTATTTGACTAGTATATGCTTTGCAGGTGGGATTTGTACTTGCCTTACTCGGAAAAGATCTTTAGAAGTGAATGTAATCATCACATTGTCATTTGTTAAACAACGGCTTTTGCAGGTCCCATGCAACACATTTGATGGACGACGGACGACGCACGACAGGCGACGCACGACGGACGACGGGCGACGCACGACAGACGACGCACGACGGGCGACGCACGACGGACGACGGAAAATCGCATATTTGGAACTGGTAAATGGCAGAATTGGGACACAACAAAAAGCAAAATGCGACGGACGACGGGCGACGGCAGATATGGAATTCCATACACATTACAAGGTAGCCAGCGATTCAGGTGTGCAAACTCCTGCGCTGACTGTGTTTACTTTCCGTGACGTATGACCAGTCTATTTGCCACTTGTGTGCATGAGCACGGGTGCAATCTCACGTGTATTCCACGCAAATTACATTCCTCATCTTGAACGTCTCGTGCCTTCATTTCGGAACAAATCTCACAGTTATTTTGACCAACAAAGAGTAAGATTATAGGTGTATGCATCTTATAGATTAATGTATAATATTGTGCATTTTCTACACGTGATCAAAGCTCCTCGTTTTAATGCAATTTGGCCGCAACAATGCCAGTTTACATGCATGCTTCATGCATGCCCATTGCGCCTTTCTCCCCGTTGCGTCATCAACCTAGCACAAACCCAAAATTTGATCTTGCGTGTTTCCGAAATCAGCCCAGTGGGTTGTGGACAGAAATTGCCTCTTATTTCTTTTGTGTTGATTTTCAGAAGATCAATTCTTTGTATACTGGTTTCTGAGTTGCCAGAGCAGTCTACCTCCAAAACCCTAGATGCCGCAATATTTGAAGCCTTTTCAAAACTACTGTAAGCTTCCGCAGTTTGCTATCAATTCTTTCTGTCGATTCATTTCCGCCAAGACTGAGCTGATGAATCAAATGGGGAATTTTGAAAATAAACCTTCAACTCACCTCAAGAATGTACACTGTATTGTACAAGGCCAGATTTATTCAGCATATTCGATATCTCTCCTCTCGCTTGTCCGTAACATGTCGTCATAAATTTAGTATGCAAAAATTAAATTTGTAACATGAATTCGAGCAGTCGAAAGCAGCGGACATCCAGTCTCACGTGTCGGGCCTTTTTCCACATATTATACTTGACTTCACCAATTTGCCTATAAATTACGATTTCGCTTTAATTATTTACTACAGATAATTAACGATACTGTCTGAAACTAGGAAACATTTATAAAGGAAAAAGAGGCTTTGAGAGTCCATATCCACGTACAAATGTATGGTACAAAATACAGCGATCGTATCAACACTGCATGTGCATGATATCTTCCGTTTTAAAATGCTGAAATCAACAATACATTTTAAACAAATTTTAATTTCAGCTTCATAAAACACCACTGTGGACGTGTGGTTTCTATTTACAACCATTATTTTACCAGAAAGCCGCACAAACAAAATGTTTAAATGTTGTATTAGCTATGCACGCACATTGTTACAGGATTCATAATTTGATTTTCACTTGGGAACATTTTTGTGAAAAATTGTGGTGCAGAAATGCATTTAGTTGTAACACTGAGGTTTCCTCCTTAAACGACATCTTAGTTCTTATCCTAACTAAGCCAACTTGCATGAACATAAAAATCGCAGGTGCAGAAAATGTCTACAAGAAGGTCAAAAAGGAAAACTTGAAATAAGGTTAAGTAATTAATGTGGTAAATCTACTCGGCCAGATTGTGAAAGAAATTACACTGCGTGGGTCCTTCAACAGGATTTTAATTTTTAAAAATTAACCCTTTATGTGTTTGATTTTGTAACGCTGTTTTGTCCCCATAAAGCATGCACATTGCAGTTCGTTTATTGAAAATTGTAAGTCCGTCGTCTATGAAATTCCACCAGCGTGTACATATAAAACACGGCAGTTTCGAAGAAAGCAAATTTATTGACCGGTTACAACTTGATAACTTTCCAGACTGCGAAGAGAAATAAACGCACTTTACTTCCACTACAACCAATCTATTACAAGTTGGTATTAGGCAGTCGCCCTTTAGGGGTTGGTTAGGAGATCGTTTAGGGAAGTTTTAAGAATTCGTATCTGGGAACATCTCATTCGTACTGTTACTCAAGTGTGCAGCCTTGGTGTGGGTCGTTCGCAGATGACTGGAGAGAGATCACTACATGGTACATCATTCCAACCCTTCTTGTCTGTCGCAGCACAGTCTTCCCAGATTCCTGAAAAACCAGGTTCCCCAGCCCTCCAGTTTCGGTATTTCACATCAGTGGTACCATCCTTACACTCCCATGAACCTGTAAATAAATAACAGTAATAATATAAGACACACCAAGAACATCAATGCAGCATTCAATATCTGTTTTCATTGATCCAGTATTGCACTCGTACTGAGTAAAACAATAAGTAAAGTTGTCCGGGCGCCAGTGCAAATATCAGATACATGTAGATATAAATACCAAGCACAACTTTTACTGACCTTCGACTTCAATGTCATTACAGTTGATCCAGAAGTAGTAGATCAAGTTCAGGAGGAACTCAGTTTCCTCCTGAGACTGTGGCATGACCAAGACACTTCCCATCTTGACGCATTCCTCTATGGCCTGAGCCCATTTTAGACTCTCGCTTAATTTTTGGTAGCATTTGTCACCACACTGGCTCCAAGCGGGAGGACACGCCCCTCTAATGGTGGACACACCCCTATCATTACCATTAATGCGTCTGATAATGAGACAAAGGCTCATCAAGCCAAAGGCAAGAGGTTTGGCACACACCATTTTGAAATGCCCCCAGACGGACACCTGTGATGAACAGAATAATGTTCTATCGGTGGCAGGCATTGACAAACTGGCAACATTCTGCCTCTGTTGTCCTTTCCATACCCTCAGTGGTATTAAATTTTACAGCAATGGATAGAATAGAGTTTATCCTTGACATTTTTCAAAGGCGCACGTTACAATAGCAATATATCAAGCAAGCTACTGCATTCAAAACCTTCATCTATGTCTTTCTGATTTTTTTTTACACAGTTATGGAAAGAACGGGTAAATGGTTGCCATGACAGCCGGACTATATTTCCTACAAACAGCTGACAGGCAATTAATTTATTTCTATAAATGCCAGGTAGTGTGGCGAAGATCGTGATTGTGCCCAAGAATACGTCGCATTTTGTTATAACGCTGTCTTTTAATCATTAAATGACTTTAGGAATGATTTTTTTTACTTGATATACCTAAAATGGTAAGCACATTACACAACTTATCCTTCGTTTCCTCTTCACACTGGGGCATAACCAATACATTTCCCATTTTGATTCAATCCTGTTTGATCTCAGCCCATGCTAGATTCACTGAGAGTTTTTGTTTTGTTTGTTTTTTGTAGGGTTATTTTTGTTTTGTTTGTTTTTATTTTGTGGAATATGTCACCCCACTGGTTCTAAAAATGAAGGCACACCCCTTGCCGTGAAAAAGGTCCTGCACCTCTCATCACCACTGATGCATCTGATCCAGAGATGAAGGCTCTCCATTGCAATATCATTTTCAGATGGGCCTGCCGACTGGCTGGTGTGCGGTTTTAAAATGTTGACTCTTCTTAGCTGCAATGCGGCATAACATCAGCATTTAACACATTCCCCCTTGTGTCTTTTAATATGCAGAATTTCCCAATAAATGAACCTCTTATTCACGAGTACAGTTTTTCTATTCTTACTGGTAGAAACCTGTCAAGTGACAGTGTATTGTGATGGATGCAAGTGCACCCTCATTTCACAGGCGCATTTTCCAACTCACGTTACCAATCTAGCACAGGCTAGCCTAGCTGAACTGTCAGTCTTCAAGCAAGAATTAAGCGAATCATTTCATCGAGCATAATCAAGAGCATCTTCAAACAGCTTGTTAAGTGCCAGTTATTGTAACAATCCAGGACTATCATAAGTTGTCGATTTTTGTATGATTTTTTTTGGCCCAAAGCTTGGCTCTGTTTGCTTGGAATTGAGGTCGCGAGCATAGCTGTACTCAGCGTGCTTTAAGTGCACGCAGGCACTGTAAACATTATATTTACGTGGTTTCGTGCCCTGCTCTCATGTACATGTATGTGCACATAAAAAGTATATTTTGCACTGCTGGATTCATTATACAGGGTGTTTGTTTATGATTGGACGGGTAAATAAATAACCGGGTTGCTGTTTGCTGGTACAAGTTCAAGTTGTGTCCTTGACTGAATCACTGCTGCAAGTCTGTCTCCTGGACGTGGTCCGAACCGGGATTCGTCTCCCATCCGTTGAAGTTCACACTCCAACACAGTATTAATTTGATCATGCCCGCTACGTAAAACGCGCTGTCACCTGGATACGTAATCCATGCCATTGGTCAAGAGTTTGTGTGCGCGCAGCAGTGTTGTATGACTCGTGTCAAGGACTCGAGTCACATTTTTCATGAGTCGGACTCGACTCGAGTCACATTGGATAATGGGTCGGTCTCGGATTCGACCACGATGACTTGGACTTGAGCTTAGTGACTCGTGACTCGCTATCGAGTCATGTATTTTCGTTGAACATATTTACCATACGCCTTTAATAATTAATTTGTATGCACCCGTGCTATCACTGGTTTGCATGCGTGGAGCGTCGTCGTGTTGCACATTTTCCAGTAAAATGACAATAAAATTGAATGACAAGAAAATGACAAGAGGCAATGGTTTCAGTCATCTCACTCAAACAAGAAGCTTCAATTCTTGGCAAGACTGGGCTTGTTAAAATACAGAAGCACAACCATGGAAAAACTAAATGTGAAAAATAAATGTTCAGCTCCAGTGTCCGGTTTTAAGTGAAATTCTCATGAGGTAACGTAGCTGTATATTACATTCTCTGCACATTGTTTTCTGCTTTAGCTTAGAGGAAACAAGTTGCACCTCAAAGAGCCTATGAAAAATAATTGAAAACAGTTCAGCTCCACAGTCAAAATGAAAGTAAAATTCTCATGAGGTAAATACTGTGTGCATTGTTTTCTGTTTTAGCATGTAAGAAACAAGCTGCATATAAAATACCTGGAGAGGATTTAGGTCAGAAAATAAATTCTCCTCTCACTCCAATCTACCTTTGTTCTTGGCAAGTGACAATGCATGAGTTGTTACGTACATACATGTATGGTTTTCATATTGCGATGTCCATTGCCGCTGCTTGCACTGCATGCGTATGTACCGCCACTGCCTCTCCGACACTGAAATAGACTGGCCCCTCACGGTTTGTTGCTTAAAAGCGTTTTTAATTTGTATACGTAAGCAGGACGTAACACCATTTTGTTTGTCTGGTTCACAGACGTGGGCCTGGGTCCGAATCAATTGGCTACTGCAGGAAATTACCCCGAGTATTTGGCAGCATCTACGACCAGTTCCCATAGAATCATGCATGATATCAAGCCGCAGCCAACTGATTCCGACACGAATGACATCCCCTGATAAGAGTGCCCGATTGAAATGTATGGACGCCTAGAGGGATTCCTTCACCGTACATATTACTTAACCCCACCCATCAAAAACACGTTAAAATTACGCGGTAACAGAATTCTTGCCGATCAAGTAAGTTTGGCGGCTTTGGGAAATCGTTTTATGCAAAATAAAAAAATTATTTATTTTGCCGACGTGCAGGTCTACGGCGACGCGCGCAGTGACCAGAAACCCAAGACTTTTTTTGGCCTTGGAAATTTATCGAATGTTGATTTCCTTAGACTTTCTGACTGAAATGGTATTTATGAATGGGACTAAATATGTGCAATTGGTCGGTATTAATGTAACTTTTTATACCGGCTCATGAGAATGGACGCGACTAATGCCCGAGCCAAACTTTTAAGGCCGGCCAAGCACACATTTATTCCCTTATAACTAATCATTATACACAACACACGTCACTTCTACACATTGTTGGCTAAGATTTCCTTTGGCTTCTGGTATTAGTTAGTAGGCTAGGTATTAGTAAAAAAAAAAAAAAAAAAAAAAAACTTGACTCGATCTTACGCAGTTTCTTCAATGAGCCATCCGCTCTATTCTTCTTGCTCTCGATGAGTTATGTCCACCTGAGAGGTTCAACGGGCATTTGACAGATTTTTTTTCATATTAATACTCGTCTAATTTAATATCAATGTTAACATGGCTGGGCAATATTTACAGAAATGTAACCTTTAGTCGGTGTCAATTCGTACCTCAATATGTACATTTGCTCCATTATATTTCTAACAAGGTCAAAATTTTCACATAGTATTTAGCAGTGTTGTTTATTTTGTGCTCTTCAGATATGTTAAACAGTACGTAAACAGCTAAGTGATTATTCATTTGCTTTTCCAGTGATAGCAAGCCTTTATTTTACCCTCCAATAGTTAGCAAAATATTTTTACCATCGACAGGGCATCTCAGCAAATGTTTCAATACACCAAGAAATACTCAAGTGTTGAAAATGGGTAGCATACTATGATTGGTAACGCAAGAAAACGCTCGCAAAGTGGATTAGAATTTAAATTATGCAGACATTGAGAAACAAATACAACAAGTTATCAGGGGACACAGCAGTACTTGTCTGAGAAAGTGAGGCAAATTTATGCATTACTCAGTTTTTTTCAACACAATCACAGCTTTAACACCAAATAAACCTCAATTTTACCATTTTTAACCCTACCTAGCAAATGTACTGGGTACGTATAGTTTCATTTCAGAGAATTTCATAAAATTGAAATAATTATCAGAATTCACAACCTCACGTGACGGTGTAGCATTTACAAAACACTTCCAAATAATACGAATTGCTATCGATACCGCATTTATTTTTGAGAAGAATGCTGAATATAGATTACAAGCATTATAGCCGACACTAAAAATCTTTTAAACACAGATGCAGTTTTTAAATATTAAGGCGGATTGTTTTTGCTTGTCGTTTTCAAGGAAATGATATATAACTCGAGACGAAGTGAAATAAGCAAGGTTTATCGTCACCGCAAATCTGGAAAGCAATTTCGCTTAATTTTAAAGCATACTATCGAATGCGACGTATGCAAAACGTAATAATCAATCCAAAAACAAGTTGTTATACCATAGCAACCAAAATGGATCGATTTCACCACGACGTGCGAGATCCACCGTATCCGCACCGAGAAAAGACGAATCGTGCGGAAAGCAGACAAATTGCTTCGCCAAGAGCTATCGTGGTGAGACTGGGCATTACAGCCAAGGAGTACCGTTGCCTCGCTAGGTATGGCGGCATCATCACGGACTGGACGAGAGACTACTGTTGACGCGAGAGTGGGTGTGGCTTCGTTGTGCGTTCTGCTATTCTTGTGGGGCGCATATTTTATTTAAAAAACAAGTTACTTTCATTGTCAACAAGTGTCATTCAGATCTTTTAGTCTAAAAGTGCAGCATTGGCGCAGGTCGTTTGCAGATAACAGGAGAACGATTCTCACATTTAACATCATTCCAGACACCGATATCAGTAACCACTGCACAGTTTTCTCCCTTTCCATTACTGGGTTGATTTACTCCCCAATTTGTATATTCCACATTTGCAGTACTATCCTGACACTTCCACCAACCTGCCATGCACAGAG